GTCTCCCCAGACAGAGTGAGTCTCCATCCTCCCTGTCTTCCCAACTGTGGCTATTTTTTCATGGATCCTTTTACAAACTCCCTTAGCATGATTTTGTGGATGGGATAGAGCAGAAAATGCTGAAGCTTCTTTCCTGTTTCTCTTTCTTGGTGTTCCTTTCCCTAAAGGCCATTTTCATCTGCCAGGCTGGCCCTATAGTGGACGTTGCTTTTTTCCAACACCCCATCCCTGGCCGCCCCCTGCCCTGGCACACACATATAGTGACAATGCTGTGACCCCTGTTAGCTGGAGCTGAAACAGATGCGCTAGGAGTGACGGGTGTGTCTCTCAGACTCCACCCCCCTCCCCCATTCGGGTGCAAGTATCTTTCAGCATCTTGAGAAGAAGGATCAGCCCAGGTTGTGTCCTCCTGCATCCTCCACGCACCCCGTCCCTGTCAGTCCTGGAGACCTGAATTTGGGCTTCCCCTCATTGTTTGCCTCTGAAACCCTCAGTCTCGTCAGCTCCTGAAAGCCTCCATTGTCCAGACAGGCTGCCAGAAACCGGGTGTCTGTTTTCTGGCCAGGAGCTCTGTCCCTAGGAATCCAAGTAATAACTTAATAGCGCCTGGCCCCCACCGAGCGCCCTCTCACAAGGGCTTTGTGAGCTGCAGAGCGCGCAGATGGAGAGGACGGCCCGGTGCTCTTGTTGCCTAGATCAGGTGCTTTCTTGGCCCGTGTGTTTACTGAGAACCGAGGCTTTATAGAGCCCTCCACCCCCAAAAGAATTTGACACAAGGGGTGAATCAGTAGTATCTGATCTTCCAGTGAAAGCTGGAAGGTCAGCATTAAATCTCTTGGTATGTACATACATCTGTAAACACACACACACACAGACTATGTCCTTTAATTTGAGGCCTCTTTTATCATTTCATTTTTTCATCTTCTGTTTTGGTTATCTCCTCCTATGCCCCAGTGCTAGTTCGTTGTTTCTTAAGTGTTGTGTTACTCTTCCCAACCAACTCTGAAGGCGTACGCCTTTCCACCTTAGAATAGTGCTTGACTCAGTGTGATAAAGCAGATTGAAGCTGAGTTCCCCTCCACAAGCGGATGTGAAGGAGTGATATCTGCACATGGCAGCCAGAGACTTGAATTTAGGGGCAGATTGGATCTTTTGATCCAGGTATTTTATGGTATTTGATTGGATGAGATTAGTACTCAAAAATATGCTATTCAGAGAGCAGTTTGCTTCTTGCTGGGTTCTGATATTGTCTCAGCACTTAACCTGTTTCTAAAATTGCCTGTTTCATTACTTTGAAAGCCTAATGCCTGTTAAAGTTTACTTTTCTTTTGGACTGCATATTACTGACACTATGTTTTTTTTTTCTTTTTAAATTCATTTTAGGAAAGCATGCCTCAGACTCCTCCCTTTTCAGCAATGTTTGACAGCAGTGGCTACAACAGAAACCTCTATCAGTCTGCAGAGGACAGCTGTGGAGGGTTGTGTTACCATGACAACAACCTCCTCTCCGGATCCCTGGAAGCTCTCATCCAGCACTTAGTACCCAATGTGGATTACTATCCGGATGTAGGTATCCATGTGCCTCTGAAACACATCCTTGGTGTCCAGTAGAGATTCCAACAGAGTAGACAGGGACCCTAGAAACTACGGAGTTATGTCTAGGCTTCTCAGGATTTCCTAATGAAACATTGCATCTTGATTATTGAGTGCTTTGAGATCAGACTGAGCTTGGATGTGATATATCTGTGTATCAGTTTTATTTTAAGGGTTGATATCACATTGTAGGCCGTCAGATACCATCTCAGTGAACTTTCTGTAAGGTTTGATTCATACATACACCTTGGTTCTTAAATAGAAACACTGGAGAACATTGGATGCTGCTTGAATGTTTAGTCCCTTTTTGGTTCCCAAGACTATCACTGTGCTGAGAAAAGGGAAGTTACACAGGGAAACTTCATAAAAAAGAGAGCAGAAACAATATTCAAGATGCAATTCTTTATTGATTGGACATCAGATAACATTGCTTGCTTATGTTTTGTTTTACTTTGATAACCAACATTTGTATAGATAATATTTTCTAATTTAGGAAATTCATTTACATTTTCTCAGCCTTTATAGCAATTCCAAGAGACTGGAAAGGAGAAAATTGGAATTTGAAATGTTGCATAATTTACTCATGATCTCACTCCCAGCATCAGCCATCAAAGCCAGGTGTTTATTTCTGGGGCAAGTGATAGTTTTGCCCCCTTTCCTTGTGCTGCAGCTGCCCTGGTTATTCAGAAGCTGGTTGTTGATAAAGATTTCATGAAAATAGCCAGACACAAGATACACACGTTTTTATAAATGTAATAATGACCTTGGTGTGGAAAGGATCGTTTGTGCTTGACTCTGTAGCTCACCATAGTGTTTCTTACTGAGTTATCTCTCTGTATGTGATTTGTTACATAGCGTTTTCAAATATGTTGCCACACAGGGAAAACTTGTAATCAAAAGTAAAAGGCATCCCTTGTTCAGCCCTGTAAGTGTTTATGAGCTACAGAAGGCGCCGAAGGGGGAGAAAACCCCGTGGAATTTTCCTTTTTATTGGGGAGTCTGAAACTATTGTAACAAATAAGCACTACTTCATTACTGGCTTCTTGGGAGACAATGTGGTTAAAGAAAAGTATATAGTGTGTTATTGTGTTTTATCAAATTGCTTAGCCTTTGAGCAAGTCAGTAGATTATTTGAAAGCCAGTCTTTGAACATTCTGACACAAGCACACAAATGCTCCAGTGTGTTATAATGGACACACTGGAGAATTCTTGAGTTGATGTGGGTTGAGTGTTCTTTTGTTTTTTGTTTTTTTGGCTTCCACTGGGTTACAATCATATTTGGACACAGAAAGAGATTCTGTATGGGTGGTGTATTTAAGTTAGATTTATCTCCTCAGGCTGAACTTTATTCTTCTTTACTAGACCAAGTTATGTGTCCTGGTATCCTGGCTCCCAGAGGATAGACGTAAAAATGTGCTGTGAATAATTCAGTAGTGAAACTTACCCTGTACCTCTGTTATTTTTAGTATAGCTCAAGGGGAATGATACATCTGAAGGTAAAGGAAAACTCCGTCTCGGGTTGTTTTACGACTAGTAAGCATCACTTTTGAAACAGCGTTCTAACTTTAAGAGAGCTTAATGAAACAAGATGTAAAATTTATAGGAAAGATATTAGTTTCAGAGAGAGTGTAACAATGACTTTTTGTTTTCTTTTGCCACAGAGAACGTACATATTTACCTTCCTACTCAGTTCTCGGTTATTTATGCATCCGTATGAGCTAATGGCCAAAGTTTGCCACTTATGTATTGAGCACCAGAGACTAAGTGATCCTAATGGTGACAAGGTAATGGTGTGTTTTGAACTTTACAGTTTTTTTCTGTTAGGTTTGGTAACTTTTTGGCTTAGATTTTGTGAAGTTGGTTTCCTCCACTAACCATAGCTTATCCCCAGGCTGAGGTCCAGGAATGGTATTTCGGCTATGCAAAGGGAACTGGGGATGGTGTAAAGAACACAATATAAATCTAGTGCCACGGAAGAACCCTAGGTCCTGCCTTCAGTTGGTAGCACTTGGCATTGACTTGGGGGAGGGGGACTAGAGCTTCTTTAACCCCAAAGACTTTGCACTGGAAATTTATCAATGGCGCTGTTTGCAGTTATTTATTTGAGAGCTATCGCTGAATTATATTTGCTTTTTCTTCCTAGAACCAGATAAGAAAAATCGCACCCAAGATTCTTCAACTCCTGACAGAATGGACAGAAACATTTCCTTATGATTTTCGGGATGAAAGAATGATGAGAAACTTAAAAGATCTGGCTCACCGAATAGCCAGTGGCGAGGAGGTTGGTAACCTGAATTGAGCACGACCACTCGGATTTCCAGGCAGGGTCTTGGTGGGAAGTAGTACTAAATTCTGCATCAGAATCTCCACTGTGTCTTTTCTGTTTTGCCTTTGGGCAAGTCCTCTTCATAGCATATTGGTCTGTTTCGTGTGTCAAAGGCAGATGATGATGGAATCCCACTTCAAAGGGATGTGATCTTGAGTTCTATGTGATTAGTTTGGGGGTGTGGTCATGTCAATTCATGCACAGGATTCATGTTGCAAGTGTGTTTTCATTTTATTTTACTTATACCTTTCTTCCTTCCAAGAAGGTTTGACCCAAGTTAGATAATAAATATCACACCAGTAGATGTAAACACTAGTACATATGAAAAAACATTTATATATTAACAGATAATAAGTAATAGATTAATAAATCAGAAATAGTTTATTCCATGGAAGAGAGAAAACAAATATGCTAATATTGAGAACCAGTACAGTAGGACAAGATTGCTGTGATTTGACTGTAAGCTCCAGATAAAAGGGAAATACAATTGGTTATATAATTTTCACTGTCAGAAAAGAAAAAAGGGTGGGGAGGGTATAGCTCAAGTGGTAGAGCGCATGCTTAGCATGCATGAGGTCATGGATTCAATCCCCAATACTGCCATTAAAATAAAAATGATTAAAATAAATAAACCTAATCACCCCCTCTCCGAAAAAGCACACTAATTCTTCATGGCATTAATTAAATGAAATTTTAAAAAGCTTTCTGACGAGGACTTTGTGAATAGGATCATGAAAAAGTGCTCTGTATAGTGTTTATAACAAATGTTCTTTGATAAAACAAAACAAAACAAAACTGAAGCCATAAGATTAAAGTATAAATTAGCAAAGCTAATTCTTTGGGAGTGGAGAAGACAAAGAAAAAAGGTTCCAAGTCTTGTGCCCAGAAGTCGATTCAAGGCTCGCAGCTAGACTAGGTGGAGATGGAAAGTAAGGCTGTTAGGTAATCTTTCATAAATATCTCTTCTCTCACTTGAGCCTTTGATAAGCACTAACCAGCTCTGACAAATTCAAAGCTCTCCTCTTTGAAGCAGGCCTGGAGGGCTGGTGTGCTGTGCTGAGGCTTGTTGGGCAGGGATGTCTTTGTAGTTTCTGTGTTGCTGGCGAGCTCCTGGGAACACGTTTCTGAGGCACAGACATAACATGTTCACGTAGAAGAAGATAAAGCACTTGGCAATGGCAGTGATGTCTTGTTTCATTGTCTTAAAATACATTTCCCATTATGAATAACCCTCCTGGAGAAATCATTCTTTCAGAGCTGGGCTATAAAGATCATGTAGCAAGACACTACCTATTTTGTCTGCTTCTCATGAGTCCATTTTAATACGACTTTCTCTGACTTAAAAAAAAATCATACTAAAATTATATAAGATTAGTACTTGAAAAATCTGCACTTGCATCCTTTTACAGTTCCCCTATGACATTACATTGAACGCTGGTGCTCCAGGCAGCCGTTGCTTCTTTAAGGCTGAATGAGTGGTCCCGAGTCCTTTTGCAAGTTACAACTGTTCTAATCGTTTTGCTAGTTTGCGCGTAACAGGTTCTACCAGGTAGGAATTGGTAGGTCCTTCACTCACAAAGGCAAAAGTTAAGCATCATAGTCTTGTAAGTAAATAACGGGGTGAGCTGTTGGTTTGCTTGGCAGGGTGTGTGCTGGCTTAGTGACCTAAGTTTATGAAAAGCTGCTCAAAAGATTAGTGGCATCATAAGGACTTTTTCTCATGTGAAGGTTGAGCCCTGTCTCAGTCATTGTTTCATTTCAGTTAAGAAACATTTAGGTACAATTAATTACAACTTAACTTGGTATGGCAGTTAACTGACCTCCCCTCTATTGCCTTTTTAAAAGGTAGAAATAGTGACTTGGTTCTTCCCCAGAGGAGCACCTTAAAAACCTTTTTCAGATAAAATGCCAAATGGATGGCTTTTTGTTCCTGTCATGGGAGCCCATGAGGGGGTCATTTCCACCGGTGTTGGCCGGATTGCATCTGATCCTTTTAACAGGATCAAGCTACTCAGGAATTGGGTGGAACCAGGCCAGGGCACCAGACAGCCTTGTGCCTCAGCTTCTTATCAGCCCTCCTGTGTTAATAACAAATCCTTGATAAACTTTGAGGTTTTCAGATGGTTTTGAGTGTGGAAAGAGATGAGAAGATGAGCCGGGTCTAACCAAGAAGCTGGTTCACCTGGGGCTTGGGTGGAGAGTTGTCCCCTGCCTTGATCAGGTTGGGTTTCCCAGTGGGATGTTCCTTCAGCTACTTATATCCAGTATTTGGAGTTGGGTCCACACTTGGCTGATTGATCTGAGTGCTTTGGTGAGTCTCCTAAATTCCCTGCTCCTTCTTCATTTCTTAAATCATAGAAGTAACTTCCCTGTAGTAATGCCCCTTTCAGTTCTAAAATTTTGTGATGGATGCTTTTTCCCTCAGTTCTTTGCTTCTATCACGTGCTTAAGTGTCTGTCCTCAGAGAGACCTTCCCTCATCACCCCAGCCACGATCATTGCCCACCCCCATTACTGGCCGTCACCACTTTTACCTTCATAGCCCTCTGTGATTAGTCATTGCTTGCTTTCTTTATGGCTTGTTTTCCCCACTAGACTCCCTGCTGTGCCTCTTTTGTTCACGCAGCATCCTTAGCTCCTAGCCCAGTGCCTGGCATTTAATAGGCACTTAGGTGTATTTGAATGAATGAATGAACGAATGAGTGAACAAACTAATCAATTAGGAAATAGGAGAAAAATATTTTCCTCTACTGAAAAAATTATCTCCCTCCATGGGAAGGAGTGTGAGCTTGGGTTGGGACTTGTTGCTTCTTGCCTGGGACTTCAGGGATTTTTTTTTTTTTTTGGCAGTCAGTGGATCCAGGTGTGCCCTGTGTATAATTGAGATGGGTTCTGAATTTGGTAGGACAGTTCCACCTAATATGGCTTAATATGTTTCCCCTCTAGGGATTTGCCCAAAATGAAGTGGTTTATTAGGACTTGCCTGCAAGAAAGCTGAAATGAAACTAATGATTGAATAACATAACAAATGACTATAGTGGGTAGAATGCAATTTTCTCTTCCTTAAAGGTCTGATTTTTATTCTGTCTTTATTTGCCAGGTAATTACTGTCACTGGCATTTGAAGTTATAAAAAAGAATAAGTACTTATTTAGCAATATATGATTCAGTAAGGAAGCATGCCTAGTAACACGGAGCTTGGTTTCTCAAATGGGACCAAATGGTAGCAGCAAACTTTTAGAAGATCACATGCCTACATCTTCCTACTGTCTCTCTCTCTCAGACTCTCACACACACACACACACACACACACACACACACAGACTAGTACTTCCTTATTTGAATAGCTTTTCCCCTATACCCTATTATATACATTATATACATATGTTATATACATATTACACACATTATATACATTTCCCCCTTATATTTTGCTGCTTTTTGCTCACTAGCTGAATCCTCCACTGTACATTCCTCTACTTCTTCCCTAAAAAAGCATTTTTTAAAGTGTAGAATAAGAATCTTTCACCAGATGTGCTACTTGAGCATTGGTTCTCAAAATTTGCTGCATGTCAGAATCACCTGGGAGCGTTTATTAATGACATTTGGAACAGAAGACCAAAGAAACCATTTTAAGTTCCTAGATTTTTTTTTATGTAACCCAAGATTATGAAAGTAGAAGAAGCAAAGGAGATAAGGATGAGGGCTTTATTTTATTTTATTAAAATTTTATTTTATTTTTATCGTGGTAAAATTAACATTTAACATTATGTTAGTTTTAGGTATACAACATAATGATTCAATACTTGTGTATACTGCAAAATTATCACGACAATAAGTCTAGTTAACATCTGTCACCTTACATAGTTACAAATCTTTTTCTTGTGATAATTTTTAAGATCTACTCTCTTAGCAACTTTGAAATATACAACACAGTATCGTTAACCATAGGCGCCATGCTGTACATGACATCCCTTGGACTTATTTTATAACTGGAAGTTTCTACCTTTTGACCCTCCTCATCCATTCTGCCCACTCCCTACCCCCAGCAAGGGATTTAAATAGCTCTCAATTTGGCCTTAACTGCTTCGGATTCCAAAGAAAGAGGCATTTTCTTTTGAGTGACAGGCAGATTACTAAATAGATAGCATCTTCTAAACTGATAACCTTAATGCTGTGTGGAAGATAGGTTCTTTGAAGGCTCATTTTTTTAAACACTTAGGTATTTCATTAGTGATTTTAGGGTGGTCTGTGAAGACAGAGAAGAAAAAAGGTCATCTAATGGATCAGTTTAAAGAACTCAGAGGAATATACACCAGACAAGTAGAGGAAAAGAAAGAAGGCTGTGTGTGCTTTCTTTGCCTTGACTATGTGAGAATTAATCATTTCCAGATGTGTTTATAATTTTCCTTGGCTTAAGTATGCTGTTCATTTAAAGTTTTGAAATACGCTCTGGTAAACCAAATTACCTCTGTTAAAAAAAAAAAGATGGCTCTTATACTTTTAGGTCAGATACCATTTATTTTTCAGATAATTAATCTCAGAAAATGAGATTGTGGTGCCTTTTGAAAAGGAGCTGATTAGTCAGTGAAGCATGAACATAGGGCTTTCGATATCTATAAATTCACTGGGACTGTCCTTTGGAGCTATTAACTTAAGGACCACGTTAGCATTGAATTAGCCTGTGTGCCTTTCTCTGATATGGATACATAACTTACCTAGAAGGTAGTAATGGTGTATTTCTGTCAGGTAGCCGTCTGTGCCCTTAGACTGATGAGAATGACACGTGAAGAAATCAGGAAGGTGGCCCTTAAAAAAAAGTATTAGGAAAAGGATGCTCTGACTTGAGATCAATGCATTTTAATCTACCAAAAGAAAACCAGTACATTTTTGTGCCAGCCCAGAGAACATTAGTTATATGTGGTTCTCTTTTTTTGTTGTTGTTTTTATTGAAGTGTAGTTGATTTACATGTTGTGTTAGTTTCTGGTGTACAGCACAGTGATTCAGTTATACACATATATATATATATTCTTTTTCATATTCTTTTCATTACAAACTGTTGAATATAATTCCCTGGGCTATATATATTAGGACCTTGTTTATCTATTTTATATATAGTAATTTGTGTCTGCTAATCCCAAATTCCTAATTTAACCCTCCCCCACCCTTCCCCCCTTTAGTAACCATAATTTTGTTTTCTATGTCTGTAAGTCTGTTTCTGTTTTGTAAATAAGTTCATTCATGTCATTCTTTTAGATTCCACATGTAAGTGATAGCATATGATATTTGTCTTTCTCTGTCTGGCTTACTTCACTTAGTATGATCATCTCTACGTCCATATATGTGGTTATTATAGTGGATTTCCTCAGTTGCTCATCTAAAATGTCATGGTAGTGTTTTCATGACCCAACTTTTATTGTACTTTCAAGAGCAGCTCGAGAAAAGAACATTTTGTTCTTAGAGATCTGAAAAGACACCTTATGTGTATGTGTCTCTTTTAAACCATTAGCTCACTTAGAGGTAAGCTGAATCCTCTAACTGCCCTCATTTTACCTGGTGGTTCTCCACCATCAAGGTAAAATCATTTAAGTCCAGGGCCTGAGCTCACACAGTGGTGAGAACATTCAAGTAGAGCGAGGAGGTAATCCTTTTCTACTCCCTGGCAGACATATAGGAAGAATGTCCAGCAGATGCTCCAGTGTCTAATCCGCAAGCTCGCTGCGCTCAGCCAGTACGAGGAGGTCCTGGCGAAGATCAGCTCCACGTCGACAGATCGGCTCACCGTTCTCAAGACCAAGCCCCAGTCCATACAGAGGGACATCATTACGGTCTGCAGTGACCCTTACACGCTGGCCCAGCAGCTGACTCACATAGAGCTGGTGAGGCCTTGTCATCCTTGTCCTTTATAACCCAGGCTCGGTTTGCTTTGGCAACCAGACATGTGTTCGTCAGCAGTCATGTCAGGGGAGAGGTTAGAATAACCCAGATGGGAAATAATCTATTTCAAATAGCTGGAATGTTTTGTTTATAGACATTTGAATAAGAGTTTTTCTGATATTCTGGGAATTCACTTTAAAATAAATACTAAGCAAGTCTGAGGAGCAGCATTTCTTGACCTTCCTCGTCTTCCCCCTCTAATTAATTTTTCCACAACTCGCTTAGCCTTTTACTCTCTAATGTAACATTGACTCAAGCAGAAAACTGCCCCTGCTCAGACCTTGAAGATGATGACAATATTGAGGATTAAAGGCTCATTTTACAAGCTGCATAAAAAAATGAGGGTAGTTTGGGGGGGGGTATAGCTCAGTAGTAGAGTACATGCTTAGCATGCATGGGTTCAATCCCCAGTACTTCCAGTAAAACAAAACAAAACAAAACAAAAAATAATGAAGGTAGTGTCAAAGGTCAACAGACAGAAAGGAAAGCCCATTTCTTCTTGTTGTCTTTAATATTGTTGACCTGCTGTGTTTGTGTTTCAGGAGAGGCTCAATTATATTGGCCCAGAAGAATTTGTTCAGGCATTTGTGCAGAAGGACCCTTTGGACAATGACAAGGTAATTGGTCTACCCAGAGGTCAGCCCTGAAATTGGAAATGGAGTTCTTTAGTCTATGGCTGTGGTATAATAGGCAGAAATTGGGACAATTTTGCTTCAGTTTTTAAAATCAGAAAGTTTTCTTGAGGGCCGGGGGAGGATATAGCTCAGTGATAGAATCCATGCTCAGGTTGCACGAGGTCCTAGGTTCAATCCCCAGAACCTCAGATTAATC